TAGGCAGGCAACAGATGCACCGAGCAGCGCTGTCTTCGAGATGGTCCTCACCGCAGAACACAAGATCCAGGGGGCGAGGTTGGATCCAGATCCAACTCATCCCACCTTACATATACCTAAACCCACCCGTCTCCACCCCCTGATCCCTAAACCCACCCATCTCCACCCCTAAACCTACCATCTCCACCCCCTAGATGTGGATCTAACCCCGCCCCCTGGATCTTTGTTCTGCAGTGAGGGGCTACTGAGAGCTGCTGGCAGGAACCAGTGTCATACCAAATATGACCTCTAGGAGTAGCTGTTGGTGATGCTGATCAAGTACTTCAGTAATGATATAACTGCATATATTTCATAACATAAGTTTGTAAACATTACATTGACTTATTGCATTGACTATGCCATGATAACTTTATGTTGTAAAAAGTTTTTTACACTGCCATTCAAAGGTTTGGAGTCAGCAAGATTTTAAAAATGTGTTTTAAAAGTCTTTAATGCTCACCAAGGCAGCATTTGTTTGGTTAAAAATACAGTTTAAAAATAACGTTTTTTTATTTGTATATATGTTAAATGCAATTTATTCCTGTGCTGCAAAGCTGAATTTTCAGCATCATTACTCCAGTCTTCAGTGAGTACGTTTACAGGGACAACAATAATCCGATTTTAACACGATTAATTTTAAGCTCCTCGTGTAGCCGCATCTGCGCTGGTTTGAATGGGCTGCTTCCAGCTAGCGCTGTGACGTCGGCTGACCCTAGTTAGCTGTGGTTGGCCTGGCCGTGCGTCACTCAGAAAACAACTGGCCAATCAGAAGAGAGGCTCATGAATATTAATTAGACAGGCCAAAATCGACCTGTTCTCAGCAGAGCTCATGAGAAAGGAGCTGTAAACATATATTGAGATGGTTTTTGGTACTTATACCGCAAATATATATTCTTAAGGACATCAAAACCTCAAATAAAACTCCAGAAAGGTGTACAATATGGGACCTTTAAGACAATACTCTGATTAAGAATCTACCATGTAAACTGAGATTTCTGATTACCTTAATCCGGCTAAAGTCATAATCCAAGTAAACACTAATCGAATTAAGACATGTGAAGTATTCCTATTTTAGTCGCATTATTGAAGTGCAGAAAAAACATGTACACACCTTAATCACATTATTACCGTCGTGTAGGACTTTTCACCTCATTTTGCGACAGGATACACACACAGCTGTAGTCAACCATTTGATGGCAAACAAAAGAGCATGACTTCAACAACGCCGTCGTCTGCTTGCACGTATAGCATGACAAATAATTAACTGCACTTGAAGCTTTCAGTAAATTAAAAATGAAACACCCGAAACTGTATATGGCATCATAACAAAGACGAACTATATGTTTTGTTTATACGTGAAATTCTGGAGGGGACGTTGGATGGCGTCGCGTGGGGACGTAATGACGTGTGCCATTAATCGATCTATGTACTATAAGATGTAAAACAGGAACATGAAAGAAATATTCTAAAAGCAACTCATGTAAACACCTTAATCATAATATTGTCTTAATCAGAATAAGGTAAATAATTAGATTACTGATGTCCATGTAAACATAGTCAGTGTCACATGATCCTTCAGAAATCTCTCTAATATGCTGATTTTCTACTCAAGAAACATTGTTATCAATGTTGAAAACAGTTGCGCTGCTTCATATTTTTGTGAAAACTGTGATACGTATTTCAGGATTCTTTTATAAATGGAAAGTTCAAAACAATTGATTTTAAATGAAAAAAAAATCTAATGTATTTACTGTTACTTTTGATCAATTTTGATGAATAAAAGTATTAATTTTATTTTTAAAAAATCTTACTGACCCCAAACTTTTGAATAGTAGTATTTGTGCTGATTTTGTAGAACATTTGTGAATTCCAATTCATTGTGAATGTGTAAAATGAAACAGTATATGCTGTACTATTATTGGTAGCGGAAGGCACAATTCATAAATACTGAGCAAACAAACACTCACGCGGCAGGGGATGTGCAGAACTTCAATAAAAGGTGTTCTAGTTCTTCATAAATCTCTAAAGATCTCAGAGGAGTTTCTCCTTATGGGCCTGCGGATCACACTAAACTGAAAAGCTCTTTCAGCCAATTAAACTGTTTCAGTCAGATTATTCCAAATCACTTCAGTCAAATTGGCCATGTTAAATATAGCATAATAAGATACTACTCCTATACTGTCTCTGCAGTATATAGTACATTTGCCAAAATTTGCAAAGCTCTCCAAATGATCTTCCGTTTCCAGTGAGACAAATGAAACAGAATTAATGTCAACCATCTATTTTAACATCTATTTGAACGGAAAGCCGAAATATGCTTCTACAAAATTGAATTATGGATGTCAACTGGATGACAGGTCATATGACAACAATTTAGCATAGAACATTGCCTATTATTTCTTTTACTGTTTTTGCAAATGTGTAGGCAGTATATGTGCACTGTACTGTATGTATACTGTGCAGTATTCAGTAGTAAGCTAGGATTCTGTTTTCCACACAGCTGTACATTCAGCTGTTTTCTCTTCTCTCACACACACACACACACACACTTTCATACACACACTCTCTGTCTCTCTCTCTGCTGCCTGTCATCCAAATTTGGAAGCAGCATTTGTGTGGTTTCCAAGGTGCCGGTCTGGAGTGGCTCTCAGATTGCCGTATTGGGACTGAAGGGCGTCTGAAGTGTCCAAACAGCCAGTGATGTGTGTGTTTTGTGCTGATCAGGGGCCAGATGGATCTGTGCAGGGCTGAGTGTTATCGTATCTTCCCTGCAGTTTTCTTCCACTCATGTAGTGCTCAGATGGCGGTAGAAAGATAGAAATTCAGACACAAGAAGACGGTAAGGGTGCTGGGATTATTTTTTAAATCTGTTATCTACCTTTCCAGTTTGCTTTTCTTACTGAAAACTCTGTAGATGGGCACCAGTATAGTTCTTTTTATTGGAACTGTAACATAAGAATTAATGCATATTTTTTCATAATCAAGTCAATTACAGTACATTGAATTCTGTGATAATGCAGCAAGTTTTAATGTTTCTTGGTGACATAAACAAACTACAGTTACACTGCATCTCCACTGGCCTCGGGTGGTGTGTTGTGACCCTTTAAAACTAAGCAGTTAGTGTCCTTCAGTGTATAAACAAATGCTAACATATTTACAGTATAAGACTTACAGTTGTAGCCGAGCAGGCAACTGTGCAGCACCACAAATAAATGTTTAAAACACGCAACTGTCACACTGTTTGGAAAGTATATAACATATAATTATGTCATGACCAGCTAATAAAAGTAATAGCCCTAAATAAGGTTAGACACCATATTAACTTTAATGTGGATGAAAACGAGACTGTGAGGGAAAGACATGGTCTTTACTATGGCACTCACAGGTCCTAGATTATGTAATTTTCACAAAGTACTTTTAAAACTGTTTGATGGAGTTTTTGTCTGACATTTAATTAGCTGAACAGTTGGTACGTTGTTAAACAACAGTACAATCCATTGAACGCACTGTACTTCGTTTTCATTCCAGTCAAAAATTAATATAAAGTCTATCCGTTTTTTTAATTGTGTGTGCAAGGACACAAGGAGGGACATAACTATCCACAAAACACGTGTTACATGCTGAGTTCAGCGAACTGTCTGAATGTCTGTAACACATAACTAAAAGATCACCCACCTTGAATAACAGTCTCGACTCAAAAGCATGTGTGTCAGCTCTTTTCCAAAACCTAGTGAGCTGCCTTACTGTCTAATGCCTGTATAAACATCTTCTTAGGCAGTATCCTAATTGAAATAGAGGCTTCTAAGTGACTAATTTGAAACCATATTGATAGGCAGCAACTCTGTCATACAAATAGCACATCCTGACTTAAAGCACACAGAAGCACACACTCAATTCACAATTGAGTTCAGATTTCAGTACACTCTGAAATTAGCATGCTGCTAAGCTAATGCTTTGATTCTCTAGTAACCATAAAATACACAAATACTGAGTAAAATAGTCAATTGTATATACTTTAACTATTCTTATTTGTATATTTTGGTGTTGAATTTTGGTGTTTGGTGTTAATTATGTTTTAATGATTATATCTTGGATTTATTTCACTGTGCTCATCATAAGGCATAGTGCGATTGCCTTCTCTGTGCAGTATACATGTACACTATCATGCCAACCCTTGTGAGAAAGAAGTATGCTTAATTGTATTGAATGTGCACTTGTACTTCAAAACTTAACAGTATGTGTGTGTGTGTGTGTGTGTGTGTGCAGAGAAATACTGAAATAAAAGGCCACTTCAGTGTACTTTTTCATGACTGTGTTTTTCCCACAATTGTAATAATGTAAAATTAAACTTTTTTACTTAAAGTACATTTTAAATCATTATGTTTTAATACTCTTTTGTCATGATTTAAAGTACACTTATTTTGATGTGTTGACTAGCATACTAAAGCACATGTAAAGTACTAGATTATAATTTCTACTGTAGTGTTATTTGATATTTTTATGTAATACATTCGCATGCACTACATTGCAACTTCATAATTTCAAACGTGTGATTACAAACATATTTAAATACAATAACATACAAACTGACAAAAATGACATATATTTTAGTTTATCATAAATACTTGTCAGTGCACCATATTTCAATAGACAATAGAATTATGAAAGTACATGTCCTACTTAAATGTATCAAAAACCACTTTAAAGTTCAGCTAATTGCATTTAATATAAATTGAAACTATAATTTTGCAATTTAAATTAATTCCAATTAACATGCAATTAAGTGCCCCAAAATATTATATTTAGTTCACACTGAAGGATATTCTTTAATTTTAGTTATATTTTATTATATTTTTTGTGTAAAAAATACTCTTTTTAAAAGTGTGTGTACTTCTTTTTGTGTTAATGTGTAATCCACTTTAAAGGCCTCTAGACTTTGCTCCCTACGGTATTGCGGGGGTCGGCAGGTATCCAGGTACCATCGCTCTCACCACGGTGATGATGGTCATCTGAATAATAAATGAAGTACATACCTGTGTTACAGAGTCGACATCTGCTCACTGCAACCCGAGAAAGAGGGAATGTCATACTAGCTATTCTCTAGGGGTCTGGAAGTGTCTTGTTTAATCTTTGCTTCCTCGTCGTCTCTGTTGAGGAGCGTTAGAGTCAGTGTTGGAGAAAGTGTCCCATCTGAAGGATGCAGATGTACTAGGTTTGACCTGTTCTGCTTCTCTCTCCCCGCAGGACCGCTGCCTGAACCTGTGGTCAACGGAGACATGGAGGACAAGGTACGACAACAACTCAGATGATAGAATACTAGCAGGCTGGATTAAAGGAATAGTTCATCCAAAAATGTAAAAATTAGTTTCTTTCTTCTGTTGAACATAAAAGAAGATATTTTGAAGAATGTTGGTAGTATGGAAGAAAATACTATGGAAGTCAATACCGGCAACTGTTTTTTTTTTACAGACAACAGAAATGTTTTGACATTTTTCAGAATATCTTCTTATGCATGCCACTAAAGAAATAAAGTCATACCAGTTTGGAACAACATGAGGGTGAGTAAAGGACATAGACGGAGCGTGTGTAAGGCCACGGGGACTTGGGGCAAAAATGGCACTAAATTGGACAGAAATGCCCCTGCACAAATAAATGAAATCTATTACGTCTGTTGATAACAAACTATCCATTTCTAACGTTTTTATTAAATTGTAATCACGTTAAATACAAATTCAGTCCCATTAAACATTTTTTTTTGAGCCTACATGACACCCATGTCTGGTTCTTGCCTAAAAAGACGGGTTTATGATGTTAATGCATTTGGCTGCTTTTAGCCTTAAGCCCCGTTCACACTAGCAGCGACTTTTGTCGCTGCATGTCGCCAGGGGCTGGCGATGAGGTTGCTAGTGGGCGTTCTCAATACTGGTTGCCTTGACAGCGAATCAGGTTTCTTGCTGCTAAGTACAAACATTTTGGAGGCAAAAGACTAAATATAATCTAAATTAAATCCGTACATACAAACAAAAATGAATGAGAAACAGAGCCTACTTTCTTCCATTGCGTATGTTTATTTACGGCGCTGAGAGGAGAAAGATCACATGAGCTCCGTCTTCTTTCCTATTGGCTGTCGCTCCCGAAAGTCGCTCTTCATTTGCATAAAGTTGAAGGATTCTGAACTTTGTCGCGTCGCTGGACACGCCCCATCCGGTCGCCAACGGTCGCTGTCGCTTGCTATCGCTCGTGTCGCCGGAAATCGCCAGCTCTCCATTGAAATGAATGGGATTGTGTCGCTTTGCTGTTGCGTGTCGCTTGTAGTGTGAACGGGGCTTTACCCTGGAGTTGGTTCACCCTCCGCCTATGGTAAAGGATGATGAGTAAATTATGGAATTTTGGGGAGAACTATCCCTTTAATGCATTTCAAGTAAAAAGTGTGAAATATAAAGAAAATCAAGCTCAAATATGATAAAGTACGAAACTGCTAAACAATATAGAGGAAGTGATGAGGTGTTTTGCTGTCATTACCAACAAAGCCACCTATAATTGCCACTGAAATGAGTCAAAGGACATGAAAAGCTCACAGTTTCTGTTTTGTCTTCTTATAATTGTGGTTATTCTGACACAATGTGAAAACAGCATAATTAACTGGAAGAATGGTTTATTGTGATTAATATCACTGAATGCAATTATTTATTGAACAATGGTGTCTTTTAGCATACTACTGGTGCAGCTGTCTCACAAATGCAACTAGATTAGCATTTCCACATGTGAAATACTCATTTTAGCAAGGTAGCAAGAGTAAAGTTCAAGCTAAGTTGAGGTTCTAGCCATTGGAATAAAATTAAATGAAACCCTTTTGCAGTTTTAAGGTGGCTATTGATAGATAAATGCAGAAGATTCAGCAAATATTACAATGGCATCATCATTGTCACTGTTATTCATGGCCTCTTGAGGATTGTTGCTTTAATAACATTGAGCATCATATTCAAAACCTGGTTCGTTTGTAGTTATTAAATATCATTAGTTTCCATTTAATAAAAACAGTTCTGGAATTAGATATTTTGAATCAAACAGGCTTCGAATGAAACGTCAGACAAAACAAAAATCACATTTTCAAGCCATTTCAGAGCAAGTAGAGTACAAGGATACTGAGATCTAATTTTTCCCCAGTTTTCAGCCATGTGCACTTTCCAGCTTGGGTTTCATTTGTTATCCCGTGTGCTCTTTCCTAAATAAATACAGCAGCTTGAGTTGTTTGTGTTGGCCTGTGTCTGAACCTAGGTTCTCACAGCAGAAAAAAACACTACAGCAAGTTTCTCAGAGGTCATTGGAAACCTTTGCATGTTTTGATGCCTCTTATTGAAATGTTTGCATATTGTTGTGTTTAGTGAAGTCAGCTCTCTAGACACATATGAAGGGAAGTCTGTGGCTGTATTATATGCAATTATTTCTGATTATGCCAATGATAAGTGGTCGCTGCATGAAAGAAGCCCATTAGAGGTTGAAGATCAGTCTCTATTCAGAATTTGACTGGATTAATCACTATCGGGTTTTAATGTTTTCAGTCCGGCTTATTCAAAAAGGCCTCTGTCATTAATTGAGAGTCATTTGTATTACTTTGGTCTGAAATGTGTCAGTTAGTGGCATACACTACAGATTTCTTGACTTCATGCAGTGCATGTGAAGAGCAAGAAAGTGTTTTATTGACCATAATCATTAGGGATGAGTATGGACGCCTGCTTCTGCCACTGAATATAAAAAATCATAATTGTGACTTTTTATCTCACAAGTCTGACTTTTTTCTCATAATTTTGAGTTTACATCTTGCAATTCTGACTTTTTTCTCATAATTGCGAGATATAAAGTCACATTTGTTTTTTTTTTCACATTTGACAAAAAAGTTAGATTTACGAGATGTTAACACGCAATTAAGAAAAAAAGTCAGAATTGTGAGATAAAAAGTCAGAATGACCTTGTTTCATTTTTTATTCAGTGGCGGAAACAGGCCTCCATAGATGAGAATTGTAAAGAGTGCTGAAGTTCTGGATATATCAGTATGGCTGGGATTCAGCTGTAGACACGAAACCACAACTCTATACACAAAACTAAAATACTCAATTAAAAAATCTTATACATATTCCAGTTCAAATTTAAACGTTTTTAAATCAAAGTACCAATACAAGAAAACACTTGCGACTGTTTCCTAACTGTATGTTCATGCTGGTTGCCTGAACAACCAGTTAGTAAATACACATATTACACAGGGATAGTTCACCAAAGAATAATATTAGTAACACTTTAGTATAGGGACCAATTCTCAGTATTAACTAGTTGCTTATTAGCATACCTATTATTAATATATTGGCTGTTTATTAGTATTTATAAAGCACATATTCTGCATGACCATATTCTACATCCCTAATCCTACCCAATACCTAAACTTAACAACTACCTTACTATTAATAAGCAGAAATTTGGGAGTTTATTGAGGCAAAGGTCATAGTTAATGGTTTGTTAATAGCAAGAATCGGACCTTAAAATAAAGTGTGACCATCATCTCATTCCTGAACTACATTGTTTCTTTTGCTGAACACAAAAGAAGATATGTTGGTAACCAAACAGTTTTGGTGACCATTAACTTAAATAGTTTTATTTCAAGTTGCAAATGACAAAACTAATAACTTGTGATCCAGTGAGTCACGAACCTCTCTTGCTGAGTGAGAAAATTGAGACTGATTCAGAGTCTTTTGTATGATGCATAAAGTTGCTGCGTATGTAGAGTGATTCAATTTTGAGTTGTATAAATACATTTATAGTCAATAAATTAATTGTTAAAAATTTTATTTCGTTAATTCAGTTTAAACAATTATTGTCAGCATTTGTACGGTTTATTTTATTTTTACGGTCACACTTAAGTTTGGGGACCAATTCTCACTATTAACTAACTATTAAGTGTGACTAATTTGCTGCTTATTAATAGTTAGTAAGGTATTTGTTAAGTTTAGGTGTGGGGGATTAATAGGATTAATAGAATATGGTCATGCAGAATAAGAAATTAATATGTGCTTTATACTAATAAACAGCCAATATTCTAGTAATATGTATGCTAATAAGCAACTAGTTTATAGTGAGAATTGGTCCCCAAACTAAAGTGTTACCATTTTTACATAAAAATCAAATCCCACCCTGCTTAAAGTAGTTTCTTTTCCACCAGGACACATTATGTGTAATATTTCTCACATTATGCCACCACAATGAAACATAAGGAACACAATCATGATATATCCGTACATTTTTGTGGCAGGTGCAGTTTCTCTGTGAGACAGAGACTGGCTTGTATGTGTTGCCACTAGAGACACAATGACCTGCGCTGTTTGACACTAATATGCAAGACACTCTGGCATACAGACAAAAATATGTATTTTATTATATATAAATATAAGAGGCAAAATACAATTCCATGGCCAGTAAGACTTATTTATGGCTACTACCTGAATTCACCATCATTTTTTGTTGACATGGACGGATCAGGTATCAGGCGTCTTCTTCGGTCACCCACTCATTGCTTGAGTTCGTAAGTTTAGAGACTTTGGAGACAGTTTCTCTAAAGAGGATTGTGGGGGAAAGTAAGAGCCTCTGGCTAATGGTTGACGTGTCAGATGTAGCTGGCAGGAGGGAATAAGGGGGCGCTGTCACCTGTCAGAGCAGCAGTATTGATGCCCGGCTAATGCTGCCCACTCGTACAGTTAATGAAGCTCTGTCTCCAGCAGCCTGAGGCCCACACACTGCAGCTGACACTCAGCACTTTACCAGCTCAAGTCTGACCCCTAGTGCACACAGCGAAGCACCGAGCCTCAGGAGATCTGACATGTTACTGAAATGTCTGTCTGCTGTTCAGGTTAACGGAAATGTGGCCAAAGAGGTGGAGCTGAAGGATTCAAAGTTATCAATCAGTTCGTCTCCATCCAACGCATCCTCCAACACCTCCCTCACGACTCCGCCCCCTGAGGTGAGACTGACCTATGATATTTAGAATATGCTAATTTTCTACATAAACAGAATACCCAGGTGACCTATTACTACAGGTGCCAAAATATGCAGTATACTACAGAGCACACTGCATACTGGGTACTCAATCCCATAATGCAGTACGCTCAACTTGAACTTTTTCAGGTAAAAGTTCATGTTTTTTTTCAAGGGTTCATTTCCCGGATGGCAAATGATGTAGAAGTAATTTCAGCCGTGATTTTTAATGACTTTTTGTTGACATATTTGGCCCAAATGCCAAGGGTTAAGACATTTTTACACCAAAATAAATTTTAAAAATACAAAAACATTATTTTAAAGATGTGCCACTCACAAAATCAAACGTGCATAATGTTTTATACAGCACTTACAATAAAGAAGCATACTTCAAGTAAATTTAAGCTCAAAGATTTTCCAAATTTACTTTATGTAGTAAGTATACTAATATCAATGTACTGGTAGTATGCTTGTAAGTGTACTATTTCAATATTTCTGGGGACTAAATTGACCTACTTTTTAGTTTATAAAAGTATACTTTGCCATGTATTTCAAAGTAAACTTTGAATGCACAAGTTTTTCGTTTGTAGTGGAACTATATTGTGTACTGTACTACTGTACTACTAGGTATTATTGTTAATTTACTAGCTATGTGCTTCGAGCCCACTTTTTAGTTTATGAAAGTATTGAAGCATACTCTCAGTGAGCTACTAGTTTAATAGTTTTTATACTGCAAGTACACTTGCACACACTTGAATAAACATTTTTTGCAGGAGTAAACATAATGACATTGTGTGACAACAATCTAGCATACTACTGTTTGGCATTAATCATTGCATACTTTCACAAACTTTTTAAAAATAGCAAGCACATAATGTGTAGTAAGCAGCTGGTATTCGATTTCAAACATAGCATAACATTTTCTGAAAGTACCCGAATGAACGTCAGCCTTCAACCTTTATGAATAAGTTAAATAATTTCTGGCTTCATAAGTGTTTTGATTGACTGTCATTTGAGGACATGCTTGTAATAGACTCTGAAAGGGTCCATTTTAGGTTATTCATGAGCTTCTATTTGTTTGTTCTCCTCTCAGGCTTTGGAGCCGTCCATCATAAATGCCATCCCTGAGCTCAATCTGTCCCTGCAGCAGGTGAAAGAGCGCGCTCACCAGAAACGCTCCAATAAGAGAGCTCCACCCATGGACTGGAGCAAGAAAAATGAACTCTTCAGTAACCTATAGACCTCCGATCGTCCGTCCACCCATTCATCCATCCATCAGCTCTGTTTAAGACTTGATCAAACAGAGCAGATCTTATAATGAGGTTAAAGTCATCAATGAAGTAGGCTCAATATGATGTATGTACAGTGTGTGTACACACATATTTATATGTATTCTGAATTATGTATATGAATTACTAACAGATTAGATTAGATTACATCTGCTACGGGGCAAATGGAATGTAACATTCTACAACTGTGATGTATATGTCATTGGCTGTGTTCAGAATGGAGTAGCTACTAACTTACTGTAATATTACTGCTCACTGTATACTGTGCATTACACACTGTATACTGCGTACTGTTTTAGAATTTAGTAAAACAGAAGTAGTAGTGTTAGGGGCCATTCACATATCGCGTTTTTTGCGCGCATCGCGATGAAAACATTTCAACTTTTCAGAATGAAGCGCACCGCGGGTCATGTGACAAGAACCAACCAATCAGCTTCATCCTTTCCCGTAACAACATTGAAAGCTCAGCCAAGATGAAGGAATAGCTGATCGTAGTTGTACAGGATAGACATTTTTAAATAAATTTAGTAGCAGAGCTACTGCAAGCGATTTTTAGTGCTGCAAATCCATTTATCATTTGCTGAAACTTCCGCCCGAACGCTTTGGGAAAAAAGCAGAAAGCGGCGCGCCTAGCGTTTTCCACACGTTTTTAGGCGCGACATGTGAACGGCCCCTTATGCTGTTATGCATACAGTGGTATGCTATACTGTTGTCACAGAACAATTACTTTGCATGTTTAATTTAATGAGCAGCATCCAGTTATCATGTGAAAAATTAAGTTTATTTTATATTAATTCAATTTTGTGTAAATATGTTTTTTTTTAGGGTTTGGCAGTTTGATTAAACAATAGGTAAAAGCTCATGACTGAAGTTTCAATTCATTCGAAATGGAAAGCCAAGTCACACTGCATTGTGGGATACAGTCCTTCAGCATCTTAACAAACTGCGCACGCTATACATGACAGAAATAGTAATATTATGTTCGTATGCTATTCTGAACAGAGCCATTGTACCTAATCCAGCATGTTTGACATTGAGCAGATTTGATTCTGCTGTGTTTGTGCGTTCAAGGAGTTTTGGTTCTAGTTTGATTTCTGACTGATTTGTTAAGCAGCTCTCAGTCTTATTTCTCTGCCAATTCTGTTGAGAATCATTTCATTGTTTTATAATGAAGGACCAAATGAAGAGTGGATAGAAGTGAATCCTGAACTCCTGTCTATCAGCCAATGAGTGTGTTTGATGATTTTGAATGACTGAACATGTGTAGTAATCTCACTTTCTGTTATAAACAGATAGAGTGGTGCCCAAAAGTCTGAGATTTCCACACTGAAATCTAATCTGCAATGAAGCATTTTATATTAAATACAACATTATATTCAATGTTTTGAGCCCACTGTAAATTCCTGTTAGTGTATCACTGTTAGGTTTTCTGAGACACCTGCTATATATTTTTTTCTATGTACAGTTTTGACATGCCTTACATAATCTGCACTTCTGATCACTGCAGTGTCATGTCCTATATGTGTGCACAAGTGAATGTTATTTCTATATGTAACAATACATTTTGTTCAGAAAAAATATTTCTGTTGACAAATTCCTCTGCTTTTGCAGTTGTTGCAAAATCACTGAATTTCTGCAATGCTTTATGCATATAACGTTAAATGGGTCACAAATGATTCCAAGAAGTCAAAGGCCTCTTTATTGCCACTGGATTCGATGGATGACATAACACTCTGCTTTATCCTCTGCACCGTTTACCGCCATAATTAGCTTCTCTTCTCCAAAGTTGGTCCAAAGTGTCTTCTGGATGAGGTCTTTCAGCTCCTTTAGATTCATCTCACTCACTTGCAGTTTTTTTCTATATCAGCCTTTTGCTGCTGAACACAGGAACATCTGCATCCAGCTTCCCTTCTGCAATGAACTGGACCTCCACATCATCATTAACTTCCATTTTTCCATCATCATTAGCTTCCTAACCCTAACTGTCTCTGAGCTCCTCTTCAGACAGTATTGTGCACATCCTAACAACATTGTTGGCAAGCTGGGAGAATTGGCGTTTTGCTGTTGTTCTGTTGGCTTTAAGCTGCTCCAGTCCTCTACTCCAACAGGATACAGGTAACGTGATGGTTTACACTTCTTTATTCAGTGTCTTTCCAGGTTTCTGGCTTTCCAGGCCTGGCTGGTCGCTGTTCTGGTTTCTATTCTCCAGTCTTCACAGCCCGGTTTTTCACAGCCAAGTGAATCCTCACTGTTTTGCAAGGTTCTCAGTGTGCAGAACTCTCCCACTTGAAAAGACAGCCCACTACAAGAAGAATTCAACTGTATTTCACTCATTGACCACACTTTTGCTCTCCTTTTCCCTTTTATATTGTGAAAGTTCGATGCAGTGTTCATTCAGTCAATCAATCAGGTGAAAAACCCATTAAACACAAATACAAACCACTTTAAGAGCAAGCACAAGTAGATACAATCAAATACAAAACGGGATTTAGCACACACAAGATTTAAATGCTTACTTTTAAATGACCATAAAGCAGACCTTGTAAATAGGCAGCAGACATTCAAACATTTTCAGTAAATACACTTTTTTAAGTTTGGATGATTTGATGATTTTAAACATTTGCCTTTTTATAACTGTGTGTGTGTGTGTGTGTGTGTGTGTGTGTATATATATATATATATATATATATATATATATATATAACAAGACCTTCATCCACAACCCAAAACTAATACAAAAAGTGCTAAAATTAAGCCCTACAGCAAATGCCATAATTTTAATAAATGAACTATGTAACTAAACCTTACAAATAAATACAATCACTACAAAAAATTCAGCCCATGTTCAAACGTTCAAATAATGACAAATAAAATGAAACAATGTCCAAATACACACTTAGAAATGATATAATGTGCAATAAACAAAAAAATATTTTTTAATACAAGAGAAAAGTATGAACGCTCTAGATTTTGATCATTTCATTTCCTATTTGGAATGAAATAATGAGAAATGAAAGATTGCTTGTTTATTCATTTTAGTTTAACAAACGAAAAATTTGATTTTTGTTCGATTTCTCATGTTTCGTTTGTGGTTTACAAATCGGTGTATAGTTTCGATATTTCATTTGCACACATAGCACTGTACTATATGCTGACAGATTATTTCTAGGCTATAGCATAGCATTGTATGAATATTGCGTCTCTCATTGGTAAATGCAGTGCAAATAGTTCCGTTTCTTTGGATAAAAGTGAAGTGGAAGTAAAAAAGCAATAATAGGCTGAACAGTACCACAATAATATGTCTGTAACATTTCCCAACTTTCTTTTATTTATATCAAGGCACTAGGTGTGTGTGACACGAATAAATAGGCCTAATTGTGAACATTACTTGGAAATAAAATTTAAATTTATGAATGTAAGCGTGTAGCCTACTCTGTTCACATGAAAAGAATGAGATAAGCTAGAATCAGTAAACGTAACAATACTGACAAAAACTAGCAGGGTTTGGGACAATTAAAGTCCCTGTGGTTTGAGAGTACGGCCTTAAAGTTTTATTAGTTTTATTACATGCTAAGTTGGTTGATGTTTCTCTTTATGTTGGCTTGAGAAAGCCAATATCCTGCAAAGTTCAGCTACCCTAATTAAACACACCTGAACCAGCTAAGCAAGAGCTTCAGGATCACTAGAAATGTCCAGGCAAGTGTGTTGGAACTGATTCTCCAGGTTCAGGACTGGAGCGAAATAGGCCTTTTGTGTACATAGAAAAAGTCTTAGATCTTTGAGTTCAGCTCATGAAAAAGGGGGGCAAAAACAAAAGTGTTGCGTTTATAATTTTGTTCAGTGTATATAAATGGATTTGCACAGTTGGATGTCTGCAAGCAGATGTCTAGGTTGACCGATATGGGTTTTTCACTGGCCGATGCCGATATTTAGAATTCAGGGCAGCCGATGGGCGATATATGATGCCAATTTTTTGGCCGATATGCTTGGCCGATTTTCTTTTTCTTTTTTTCCCCTTCATCTCATAAAAGAGAGTTTGAGTAAATGTTTACTGCAGGGTACAAGATAGTAATAATAGTAGTAGCCTAATTCATAGTAATAATACAAAACTTAAGCACCTTCTCAAATCCGTTCTGAAGCATACAAATATACGCCGTCTGATGGTTTTTAACATGACCCATCAACATGCATCACCCCCCCCCCAACCAGAGGTGCATCCAATAGATAGTCTAGTATTCTGGAGAAATACAGTCATGCAATGCAGTGCAAGAACAGCTAGATTTTTCACCTAAGTGGGCTTAATAGTTAAATTGGTTGTTGTTAACAGGATTGCCTCATACCCTGAACGTCTTTGCGTGGTCATATGTTGAGTATTCAAGTTGTGCAAAATGGCACCCACCTGATGCGAGGTGTACAGGATTAAAGGATGTGATAAAACCATTCTTTTAGCCATCTGTACAATTACCGCTGCCACTGCCACAGCTCTTAAACATGATGGCATGCCCTGAACAATTGTATCTAGTTGCTAAGACAAAAAAGCAACTGGCCTATAATTTGCACAATGCTCTTGCACCAGGACCCCCATAGCAACCCCGGCCGTCTCTCTCACGTGCAAATGGAACGGCTTATTATACTGCGGTGGACCCAGTGCAGGGGCCGTCGTGATGGCTTGTTTCAGTCTGTTGAAATGCATCATAGCCTCATCAGTCCAGTTCAGAACAGCAGAGAGAGGGGCTTTGTGATCAATGAGCAGTCTCAGCTGCTTGTTGTGTACAGTTTCAGATTTCTAACGAGCTGAATTCTGTCAGCAGAGATGGATTTCTCTCCCTGAGAGATCACGTGACCCAAGTAGTGGACCTTCTTCTGGAGCCACTGTAATTTCTCCTTGGAGGCCGTAAATCCTGATCTTGCAAGGCCTTTAAAACAAAATGCGAAAAGTGGTTGTGTTCGCTGGTGTACAGGAATGGAGAAGAATGCAGCACACAGGCCGATTACCATGGAAAATTTGTGATGGCATGGAACTGAATGCATAATATTTGGTACATCAGGCACCACAGGTGCTAGAGGTACAATTAAAGAAATGATCGCATGCAAATCTTGAGTAAGCCTCCAACTAGTGCTGTCGGCTTTCCTCACAGGATTAATTGGTATGTTATAAGGCAGGGCTGCCCAATTACAGACAGCTGTGTTGGAGCAGGGCTGGAACTGAAGTCTGCAGGTTGGTAGATCTCCAGGAACAGGGTTGGGCACGCCTGTTATAAGGCGATTGAGTTTTATTTGTGTCTGAGACACATTAAGCATAACTTCCTGTTTTACAGTGGGTGCAAATACACCGGAAGCATCTAGCTCTCTGACTCTTTTAGTTTTTTTTTGTTCTTTTGAACACTGCATGTGCATGTGCATACTATGTGTTTGATTGTAGAAGTATGGCATAAAGGTTTGTACCTGAATGTGTCTTTCAGTTAAATAAATCCATCACATCCTGCTGTAATTCAGAAATGTGTTCTGTTTTATTTTAGCAGAAAAACATCAGCATCCATGCACTTTCACACTGATCACATGCATGTCTAATCAAAATAGCAAATTTTGTTATAATCAATCTCATGTTTTGGTTACATTTCATTCATTATTTTTTCATATACTTTCTAGAGTCATCAACTACAAAAACAAAGTAAGCAAAGTACTTTCTTTAAATGCTTTAAAGAATTAAAAGAAGCTGGAAACAATAGCTGGAAAAGATCATTTTCATTTCACATTTATGTTGAGGACATGCTTATATTAAAACATTTCAGATGACGTAAGACAAATCTGAGTATTTATGTTCTGAAAAGAGTTTTGCTATTTTTAGGCAAATTTTTGTCCTTTTTGTTTTGCTGGACTTTGTTCACGACCAGTTTCACAGCCATTCCCATTCCCACTCCAGCTGCAGCTCCAGCTCCGATTAAAACAACAGGACCAGCAACAGCTACTTCTGTTATTCCCAGGATGACACCTCCTGTTACTGCTGCTCCCGTTCCTACAGCAGATCCAAAAGCTAATGCCGCATTTTGTAGCTTTTTCATTGTCTCTTTTTTCTTAATCTTCTTTTGAGCTTCTTCAAACATCTTGTTAGTGTAATGTCTTCCTCCATTTTCCTGGGTCATTCTGTCAATCTTCTCCAGAAGCTCGGTGACTTGAGAGCGGTTCCTCATGTCGTTATTGTTGAATGCATGATATCTTCCACCGCACCTGTCTGTCAGTCTCTTCAGATGCTGGCATCTTGCTATATACTGCTGCAAAGATTGACCTCTCAGTTGATCTGCTCTGGTGAACAGGATGATGGTGTGGTGCACAGCGTCTTCTCCGAAGTTCTGCTGAATCAGTTTCACTGTGTTCATCTCCTCCGCTGTGAATCTCGCATCCAGATTGATGACCAGCAGGAACGCATGAGGACCAGGAACAGACAGCTCAACACAAGTCTCCAAGTGTGTCTTCATGTCTTCTTTAGTCAGCGATCCACAAAACCCTGGCATATCAACCACATAGACTCTTCTTCCTCCTTCCTGCACAAAACCACTGCTGCATTGTGTTGTAACCCCCACAGGTGAGGCCTCAGACTCAAACACGTCCCGTCTCAGAATTGTGTTTCCTGTCGCACTCTTGCCTGTTCCAGTCTTCCCCACCAGAATAATCCTTATGTCATTGATCTCTGCAAATCAAGAAATATAATTCAACCAGCATTTGTTTCCTAACAGGAGTCCTGAAACTTGACATAAATATGGTAAATATCTTTTTCCGTTAAGTTTACAGACATTTCCTTTATTACCCTAAAAAACAACACAATGAAATGTGTGATTTAAAATACAGGTAGAATACCTATGAAAAAAATAATAAATAAAGCAATAAGTGTTGTTTTAAAATACAAATGAAATCAGCCAGGTGATAATGGGGCAAATTCACTAAGAATAAACTGTATCGTTTATTACCTTGTTTATGTTGATTCGCTTCAGGAATTATGTAGATCAGGAGATTCACTGATATGTCTACTAAATTAACTTTTAAAAATAAATTAATAGATCTGGACTAAAAATAGGCAGAATGTAACTGAACCAGTTACACTTTAATGCATTTATGGTCACATAATCTGTGAAGTTACACTCATCCCATAAAAAAATGGCTGTTTAGTGAATATGCCCCAATTTGTTTTCTCTATAATTCATCCAGAAAAAGTATTCCAATCTTGAGCTATTCAGTGAATCATTTATTAATAGCCAGTCCACATCCTAATAAAACATATAAAGGGCTGTACAGAGTGCATATATTGTTGTAAATATTGTATTGTACAATGGCAGCATGACTGTGACATATTTAATAATCTACTTACGGAATAAGAAATTTGAATGGAATGACACTCCGGTGTAATCATTTCGTAGTAATGACTCTGTGGGGGGAAAAAAAGTTTAACGTTCACACTCATTACATAACTAGTAAAAAAGTCATTTGAAATAATAAATTACGTACCGTTTTCACTCATTTTTGATCTTGTTTCTTGCGCCACTTACGTGTTATTTGTGTCTGAGGCACATTAAGCACAACGTCCTGTTTTACAGTGGGTGCAAATAAACCGGAAGCATCTAGCTCTCAGACTCTTTTACAGAACTGATCTACTGTTTTCTCCATAAGACCAGAAGTAGTAAATCTGATAAGTTGAGCATATTGCGGTTTCATGTTATTCAGACAATATTAATGAATAGGACTTTGGTAGTATCATCTGTAGGCAATTTTGGAATCATTTTCCCATGCAATTTTGAATCTGGTGACAAAGGTAGAAGGCAACTCACTTCTTTGCTTTGTGTTGCTTGTGTGTGAAATATCTTATATGGTTGCTACCCTCCCTTCAAGGAAGGTTTTTAACTGATTATAAAAGGTGTTAATATTATCAACTGAAGTCCAGAAATGTGCATTAGGATTAGCAGCTATCGCTCCACCAGTAACCACATCATTATCAGTGGAGAGTGCAGGACGTTCCTCAATCAATATGTTTTCTGTCACATTATCACCCAGCACTCTAAGCAAGATCGCTCTATAATCAGGGCCTGATAACTGTGCATACCGTGTGTGTGTCTTCAACACATCTACAAATTTGATTGGGTTTGATGATGGTGGTAAACTTTTACAAATTGCATCAATATCATAGACATTTTGGTAGGTATAATAGTAATCTGATTTCCTACTCTAATCCACCCCTTACGAAAAAGAAGTTTATTCAAGTGTGCTATTAGTATACTTCTTTTAAACTAAAAATAGGAAAGTATGCTTTTAGTCTACTTTTTATGTACTTCTCAGAAATGGGCTTTATGTACTTCTCACAAATATACTTAAAATGACATTTAAGTATACTTGACTTATACTTAGAAAAAGTCTAAATATATTTTTGCTATAATTGTGCTCCTAGAATCCGTGTTTTCATTGTTATACGGTAGGGGGCGCTAGTACACATCTTCTGTACAGAATTACCAAAAAACACAAGTGAAGAAGAAAACGAAACAACAGATGCTTCCACATGTAATCTAACACGATCATCAGACATAAAACAGTATCAAAACTATGTAACATTATGGAATAAAATGTCAACCAATGAAGAGGTAATAATGACTGTCAAGCTTTGGGGTGTTGATCGACTTTATCTACGTTTTGATTATCAATCTGAATCCAATTCATAGTCTTTTTTCAGCTTTTTGTTCAAAATGTTGTTTATTTCTTTATTTTTTATTTATGAAACTTATCCACATTCAAGTGTTTAAAAAAAGAATGCATGAAGCTCGAATAAAATGTTTTTGTTTACAAGCAGATACCCTGTTCTTTTGATGTTTTGTATGTTCAGATATTCATGTAACAAAATATATACAAATTAATACCTAAATAGGGACATAGTAGTATACTTAAAGTATGATGTAAAGTTCACTTAAAGAAAACTTACGAGTATACTTGCAGTATAAAACTACTAAACTAGTAGTTTACTGAGACTATACTTCAAAGTGTACTAAAAATGCTACTACAAGTATTTAATTAGTAAACTATCAGTATACCTATAAGTTCACTTTTAGTATAGTTGCAGTACAAACTAAACATTTTGATGTAAACTAGTTGTGTACTCAAAGTTTACTACTGTTATACTTAAAGTATACTTAAAAGTATACTTTTATATACTAGAAAGTGGGCCAATTTAGTCCCAAGGAGTATTGAAATAGTACACTTACAAGTATACTACTAGTACACTGATATTTGTATACTTACTACAATAAAGTATACTTAAAAATATACTTGAACTTTACTTAAGTATACTTACTAAAATAAACGAAGTATACTACTTTTTGGTAAGAGAATGCAGACATAGGCTACTGGGCAGCGATCACCTAAAAGATTAGTGCACATATTGTTCAAATGTCAAATATTGAATAAATGCATTTGATTGGTAAACCAAATTCAGACTTTACGCTTCAATCTCAAATGGTAATGCATGGAATTTACGGAAAAGCTCAACTAAATAACAACGCTAATAAGAGGGGGGCGTGGTGGCTTTGGCTATCGGCACGCCAGTCAATTTACCCCACAGCCAATCACAGTCCCCCTCCTTGCTCGGGCCTAGCCCAATGGTTAATACGGCCCTGGTTATAAATGTAAAAACTAAAAATTTTTTGTGTTTTTTTGTGTATGTTTCTTCTGTGTGAAGTTGTGTTCATTTGTTTCGGTTTGTCTCACACACTCACGGGCTGCGCGACTTTGTTTCTGTCAATATATTATTCATTATCAGTCACCGTTTACACCAAAAGTAATAAAATTATAATCATTCTCGCCGAAATTTCGCTGCTTCCTTAATTAGATGTTTTAATCAGATTAGTTGTCCGGTCGGGCTGGTAAAATTCTCTTTCTCTTGCCCCTTCAAAAAATCCACTTGTCCCAGACAAGCATTAATATCGAGCTCTGTTCCTGTATAAACAAAATTCAACCCGCCAAAGTGACCGTGTTTCCCGCCACTGCTGCGCACACAACGCCTCTACACTCGCTCCGGATTTCTCTCTACATGGAGACAGGAGTCAATACATGGGAAAACAAAGTAATTGGAGTTACTTGTTTGAAAAAGTAACTCAGATATTTTTTATGTAAATTAAAAAGTAATGCGTTACTTTACTAGTTACTCGAAAACAGTAATCTGATCGCGTTACCTGTAGTGCGTTACCCCCAACACTGAAGGGGTAATGGGACCTTATTAAAACATTATACTCTGAAAATAATATATATATATGAAATTACATTTCAAAATACTCCTAATCAGACTACATTTACTTTTTATGGATTACATGATTACATATTATTCACACAATAGCAATAAATTATTCAGAATTTATTGATTCTCCCTAACTCCTCTTCATCTTTTAAATTTTCCTTTCTAAAATATACTACCGCTTATATTCATTCAGAAAGTCTGTTTTGTGGACATTCACACAGAGATCAGTCACTAGTCAGGCGGCCACATAGCATTTGACCACTGGATTTACAAAAATCAGTTCAGGTTTAAGATGGGTTTCAACATTGCATCAACTACTGATGAACACATTAATTAAGGTTATTTAATCATGTATTACCGTGTCTTTGGAAGGCTTTTGTCTTTCAAACACATTAAAATGCACAAATTTGCACAGCCTGCTATTTCTTATTTACATGTAATGCAGGGATTCCCAAACGTTTTTGTCATCTGAACCTCTTTCACCTAATATGTTTACTTGAAGTACCACTGAGATTTTAAAATAAATATTTAATAATTAAATCACATTTGCATGCTC